ACACATACACACACATACACACTCACAAACACACACTGCGGACAGATAGCTCCCATAATCACAGATTAATACGGCAGGCTAATCCTACTGACAGGGAGGTCAGCATCGCATCCAGCCTGTCCCTGACAGACTACTCTTCACCTCCACACGCACCCACACCCACACACGCATGTATACACCCTTGAGGATCAGCTATTGATAGGAAATGGCAGGCTTGTATACTTTTCACTGATAACATCTTTCGTTTGTGTGAACAGCTTATCAGTCTGTCATGAAAAAGTGCGCCATACTTTTCAGGCACCTGCGACGAGCCGCACGTGCCACTGAGAGAGTGCTAAAGCGACATCTGAGAATACAAGGAAAAGAAAGTGATGACAGAATTTAAGAGAACGTTTTACGTTGAGTGACAAACTGCAGGGATTAAAAGTATATAGTGAGACACAGTTTTACACTTTCCCTTTCAAAATTATACAGTGCTGATGTGCTCTAACAGCTTTTAGAATTAGCTTCTTTTTCAGACAGTTAGTCTGTCTATGTGTGTTCTATGCTTCTATACAATTTAACCGTTTAAATATAGGCTTATTTTTCAGTTAGTAGTCCTGAGGCTTATTTACTAGCAAGTAGCGATGCACCAACCCTGAAGTTTTATGACTGATTCTGATTTCTGTATAAATTATTTGGCTTATGGAATTTTTTTGGCTGACTTTTTTTTTGGCCTTTTCTTTTCTCAAACTCAAAACTCGCACTATGTGGACATTTCAACAGGCCAAACTGGAATTTAAATGAAATCAGTTACCTATTTAAATAACGTAAATCAAATAAAGTACTACATCGATACTAAAAGGCTATGTGCTAATTAGAATATGTCATGCATATTTATGCTTCAATCTTTTGTTAAAGGTATAGCAACACTACTGAAGTGCAGCATGAGTTTATAAATTTGCAATACAGAGAGGTCAGCAAATCGACCAAATAATTTAGTAAACTGGGTGATCAGATGTTTGGAGCAAATTTCTGCCATCTTGGTTGACTCCAACTGTGCGTCATACCAGTAAGTATTGTGAATTGTTCAGTAACTACTATGAAACTAATGTATTGGCAAATAAAGTGTTTTCTGATTGATACGGCAGTGTGATGTGCAGGGTGTGTAGAGGAGGAGCAGAGCAGTGTGTGTGTGTGTGTGTGCAGCCTAGGGCTGTTTGTCTGACTGGTCATTGATCGTGTAGTGCAGCTCTCAGCTCCAGTGTCTGGTGTCGGCCGACCCTCTGTCGCCATCCTGCCTGTCACTGCTTTTTCACTGGGACTGCACTTTCTCGCCAAAGCCTCAACATCACATACAGCTCAGATGTGTGCATTTGTGTGAAAGCATGTGTATTACAAGTATCAAGTCGGGTCTGCTGCCTGTTTGGGGACACCTAGTTTTTACAAAATGGTAGCAATGAGCAAAATTAATAACAATAACAAGTCTCACATTCAATGAGTTAAACACTAAGCAGGTTTATTTTGAGAAACAACAAAATCACTACAGTAAATATGCGTGGGGATATTTATGACAGTGCTACTTTTATGTTTAAATCACCTTTTGGCCAAATGAATTTCAATGTGTGCCTTTAATAGCACATTTACATTGTATGCATTTAGCACTCTTATCCAGAGCGACTTACAATGTAATAAAATTGAAGATGTAGGCGAATGTAGCAATAGAAGTCTTGCCCAAGGACTTATTGTCTTATTGGTGTAATGTGGTGTGCTTGCCCAGAAAGGCAATCAGAGCACAGTCCGCTACATGGACAGTCTGCCACAATAAAAAATTGAAAAAAAAAAAAAATCACTATTTAGGAAAAAGCTACTCTTCATACCAAGGATGTTACTTTGATTAACATGATGCTGTGTGTTGCTGGATACACCCCAAATATTACATGGCTGTTGTGACAAAATATGGAATCCCCAAAATGGTAAATTTATAGGAGAAGGAAAAAAGTTCTTTAATTTAACTTTAATGCATGTTAGTGTAGCAACATACTGAGAAGCTGAGCTGTTATTACATTATTTAAGTAATTTTGGAGCATTTTATTGGTCCTTTCATCATGAAATGTTCACAAGATGTAAAAGACAGGCTGTATCGTTAAATGTTAAGAAAAAAAAAACTGTTAGAGGGTTTTGGAGGTTTTGTTGAAGTGAGGTTTTGAAGGTTTTTAGAATGATATATTTTAGGTTTTGACAGTGATGACTAGGAATTTTATATCAATCTTGGACTTAAAATAACAGTGAAAATATTACAATATAATTTAGACAAGAAGGCAAGGCATCCCAAAACTTTTGATGGGTGCTGTGGACAAAGAGGTGGACTGAGAGAGAGAGAGAGAGAGAGAGAGATGAGAAGGAAATGAGTAAGAAAGCGAGAGGACAGGAGGAAGCTAAGGCCCAGACAGAGCGTGTGTTTGAGTGTTTGCTGTGCCACTGTCGTCTCCCAGTCTGGGGCAGCAGACGCCCTTGTGACAGAGCTGAGATGGATGCCTGTGTGATGGGCTGAGAGTGAAGAAGCTTCAGCCATATCTGCTTCCAGCTTTCTTTATCGTCCACTCTTTCAAACACACTCACTGTGGAGGGTCTCGCTATATGAGGACACAAAGACATCACTGCTTTTTAAGATTCCAAAACCTGCCACACAACTTCTCTGAGCTTAATCAGGTACACGAATACTATCCTCATCAATAAATGTCAAATATTATCTCCTCCGCTATGCACTGCTTAGTGTCTACAGATGGACAAGAGAAACCATCACTCTTTGCGGGAGCCTCCCAGTGTCCGGCAGTAACCATGGTAATCGGTGCTGCTCTAAAACATCCGTTTATCTTCATTCCCAACAGCTCGCCATGTCAGGCCTTTTCCAAATGAAGTACGCACGCACGCCTCAACCCCAGAGCTCTCTGGCCATCTATCTCTGTTGTGCTGATGCCCGTTTGCACTTCACTTTGACAAATGTACAAGAACAGGACACTTCAGGAGAGCTGGGCTGAGCAGGTCAGGGTTTCAGGTAGGGCTGTTTACAAAAGGACGCTGCTCTGCAGCCGTTTATTTGCTGTGAACAGCGGTTGAAAATCAAACCTCAATAACTTTTTGATGAATTATGTATTTCTGATGTGATTGTTTAGCGTGCGTGGTCCTGCTGAGAACCGAACAGCTAAAAGTGGCAGCAGTGTGTAAAGCCTCAGAGAGTTACAACATCCTCTTCTGTAAACATGAGTGAGCGGTGAAGAGATCTTTAATAAAAAGTGATGCTGCATGCACAGACAAGCCTACAGTCTGCTCAGGTCCATGATTATAAGACTTTCCCTCCTGTTACCTCGCATTTAACCCTTAGAAGCTGTAGGCATTGTTGGTGATAGCAAAAGCATAATTTAATATTAATTATTTCTCACTCATATAGTAATGCGCAGAAATCAGAGCCCAATAATTTGTTTAATTTCACATCAAATCAGCCATTAAGTACAAGTTATTCATTTTTCAGTTTCAAAAAAAAAAACAGAAAACATATGTAACAGAAAATTACACTGAAGCCTCAACAACTAAATTTAATATCCTTTTTTCAGTATTTAGTGTGTCCACTCTTTGTCTTTATAACAGCTTACATTCTTTTCAGCAAGCTTACTTTCAGTTTTTCACAGAAATCTGCAGGGATATTTTTCCACACCTCCAAAATTCAGTCTTAGAAGTTAGTTGCATTCTCTGCTTCTTAGGATCCATCTAATGTAAATTACAAATTTAGACTGATCAACCTAGAACTTTTAAAAAGTTCTTGTCTAGTTTTTTTGTCTATTTCCTTTTCTCAGTAAGAGCTTCTTGACAGCTACACATCCTTTCAGACTCACAGCACTGAGCTGTCTTCTCACAGTGGAAAGATGGACAGAAACACCTGTGGATTTTTTTTCAGATCTGAAATAAGAGTGGAGCTTGATTTTCTCCTGTCTTTCATAGATGAAAGCTTTGAGTACTGTTTATCTGGTGGTGATAGGTTTGGTGGTCTATAAAGGTCATTCTCAGGAAACAGCTATTTATTTTCATCGTGCAAATAAACAAAATTCATATAATTTAGTAGGTCAGTTGAAGCTCTATATGGTACAGCAAAATACTGAATTCTTAATTTTTCGGTCTTTTTATTGCATTTTTTACCATAATTACCATGATGTGTCCACATATCTGTTCCTCATTACCAATATTCATCATTGTTTTGTCTTTTATCCTTAAAAAATGGGGTTATTACTATCATAGCAGTATATTTCTTTCAACTGTTGAATTTTAATGTCTATTTAAACTCCAAGGCAGTGAATTTAAACTCTTAGGCTGTCCGTGTTGCACATAATTTGAAAATGCCTGTTGACCTTTACACTATGTGTAAATTTCACAATGAATGGACCAAAATTCTGGTTTTATTGACTTACATTAAAAGTAAAGTAAGTTTTTTGCTTCTCCTGTGAAGTTATCATTTTCGAGATATTAGGTTCTGTTCCGACAGCAGCGATATGTTATAACATTTAAAAACAGAATATGTTTTAAATATGTTTTTAAAGCTTTAAAATTGTGTCTTCAAAGGGGAATATAATGTCAGTGACTCTTTTGGGAACAGCTTTTGTTGGGAGGACACAGCTGTAACTCGCTGGTGTTAAGATGTTAAAGTTGCAGCAGGGCGCACAAAAGTAAAGAGTGAACAAATTAAATACTGATAGATCTGACACTATGATATTTTCCTGACATGGAAAAAACTGACCTGTTGATATAGAAATTAAATGAAACGTAAATCTAATTAATTCTGTAACCAGCTATATAATTAGCTATATCAGGTTATTCATTTTAAATAGTACAGGCTAACAACACTAACTCCAGCCTTCTAAGGGTTAAAGGAAGGATATATTGCAGTAGGAGTGCTGCTCCTGTTGCGCTGCGATGGACGGAGGGAGAGGGAGATGGAGCAAGAGAGTAAGAGCAGGAAGGGGACTCACCTGCTGACTTTGGGGTGAACTTGTCACGGTTGGCTGCACACACAGCCAGGAGCCGGTAGCCCAGGTCCAGGTCAAAACCCTGCTGTGCCGCAACACGACTCACCACCTGTAAGGACACAGGAGAGGGTTAGAACTGTTTTGTGAGGGTGCTTGTGTGTGTATGTAAATGTGAGTCTCTCCCAGTGTCTCAAATCAGGCATTCTGTACTGTATTCATATTCTATGTACTTTTGCTATGCAGTGTCTGGATTTTTGTACAGCAGTAATATCTTAAATGGAAAACAAACAATTTGCGCTAAACAAAAAATTAACAAAAAATGCACTGCATGGCACCTCACATCACTGAATCACATCTGAACAGCTTCCACACAAATAACCACTCATTTCAAAATAAAAAAAATGTTAGGTCTGAAGTTTTTGTTCCTAATTTGTGTTGGCAGTTTTACTTGTTGGTTATTTTGAAATTTTCAAACCATGGCTCCTCCCCTCCTGTTAAACACAGCCGCTGTGGCCACTGGGTGCAACGTTTCTGACAGCCATATTCATCATCCATGTATGAAAACCAAAACATGTGCGTAACAGGCATCTATGCATAATTGTTTTAAGAATACAGAAAGGTATATGAAAATTACTTTAATGATAAAATCATTAATTCGACTGTAAAAACTGATAAGAAAGAAAATGATGTCAGTGTCCAACGGCAGTGTATTCATTTACTTCCTTTGTATACATTACATACTGCAGTTCCATTGTCACATGCTGTTGCCATATGGCAACAATTGCGTTTTATCGTTTTAAATAAAACCCATAGCATCTAAGCAGGTTTCAATTATGAAAAATTGTAACCTCCCACAGACTGTGTTTGATTTTTATTCTCAAAGTTGTTGTGCATAAATACTGAATGATATAAACACTTTGAAAATGCTTCAGAGCCCCAGCTTTGCCCTGTGATCCCTGTCTGAAAAAAGAAGTGCAAACAGCAACAGAATGGAATGTGATCAGAGAAAAACAATATGCCACACCACACAAAAAGCCTACAGTTTCCCATAAATATTACTTTTATATTGTAGTAATGCAAAAAGATAAAAATAAATAAATGAATGAATGAATGAATGAATGAATGAATGAAAAAGTAATTGTTGCCATATGCCAACACCTTGCGGTACATACACTACATCCTGCATTTCCCAGTGTAAGCACACTACTAAAAGTGGCTGGTACCCTAATAAAGAACTCAGTCTGAGGCAACTTGCACTCAGCACACATAGCGGAAGTGAAGGAGTCATTAGAGGCCACTGTAGCTGTAATTTTGAAAATGGCACATGTTCCATGCAAGACTGCGAACCAGTGGCAGCGCTGTGATTTTATCATTTTATCATTGGTCCACCCAAATTGACTGCTCAAGTTCATTTTCAGTAATCAAATCTTATACATAAATAAACTGAAACACAACTGAAAATGCACTCAATGTTTGATATATTTGATATTCCAGTTTTGACATCAACCAATTAAAATTCCAGTTTAACCAATAACCATAACTGTGAGCTGTTCGCTAGGCATCACTCGCTCCCGAGCCACCAACACACTCTCAGGCATACCAGCTACAGTTTTTTAAGCACTGAATCTAGACACTTATCATGAGTTTAGAAGATGTTTATTAAATTATGAGAATAAATGTATCAAGTTCTGCATTGGCACCTTTAGATCGATTTAAGCACTGGTAGCGTATAAACACATCTTGTTTTAAGCACTAAAGCAGTGGACAACATAGGATTAGATAAATACAGTAACTATGGTAATTCAAATCTAAACACGTCAATCATCAACCAGCTCAATAACATAAATGACATACATGCCAGAAATAGCTTATTAATGTTATTCTGTTCATAACTGTTCCTGTGTGCAAAGCATGAGAGGGCAATTTTTTATTTCTGTTTTAAAATTCATGCGCAATATAATCACACGTGACACCAATCAGTCATTTCCATTTAGTGCTTAAGGTATATTTCCTTGAAAAAATCCAGGCACTAGACAGTGAAGTACATACAGTGTACATACATTGTATGAACAGGGTGCTCAAAGCGAGGCACAATTGAGTGTAATTCTCCACACTTCATTTTCTTGTGGTTCTATTACATCATCCAGGTACTAATCGTACGAAACATCCTCATGCATTTCCTAGCATGAACATGTTACTTACACTAAAAGTGGTTTGTAAACTATGGAAGCACTTGATTTGAGACACAGCTTCTGTGTCCACCTGGACATACAGACGTGTGAGAAGAAAAACTTCTTCCATGACACAGAACTCTGCACAGAGAAGCAAAGACAGCCGAGCTGTTTGAGAGGACACTGTAGTGAACTCCTCTAAACTCACTGCTTAGCACCAGGCCTTCTGAATTTTTCAGGGCCTACATAAGATATGTGCAATTAAGCTTCCTTGAAATTCTACTCCAGACCCCCATGAGAGCAGCCTGAACCGGCAGTGTGCTAAGCACCACACCCACTGCACTGCTCCTCTCTTCCTCATACACAAAATATCTTTCTACAAACTACTCATAGTGGAGCAATTTCCTCATTCTAATGCAATCATATGAAATATTTATCCACATGCATGAATAATGCATTCTAAAAGAAAACAGCCACCTCCACTGATGTGGTACAGTGTTAAGGCTGTGTTGGTATTCGCAGGGCAGGACTGATGGATTTTCCCTGGAGATTTGGGAGACTGTTGCACAGACGGAGACTGTTTGTTCTCTGAATGTTCTGTTCTGCAGAGACCTGAGCCTAGACTTGGCCCACTGAACTCCAAATTCAAACCTCTTTCAGAACAGGCCTTGATCTACAGCACAAAAAAAAAGCTTGGAAATAAGCCCAAAAGTTAGAGTGCAATATGAAAGGCAGAGCGTGGAGAACACATCCGCCTCCACAACAGGGTTCGGTCAAAGACAGTTTTCTTACAAGAATGTTAAAAAAGACACATCTATCATTGACTGCTCCAGTGCACGACATTGGACTATGACTGTTACAGCTTTCTTTTTAAAACAAACATTGCTGTTTGTTTGACATTCCCAACGAAAGCAAGACTTAGGGCTGGTGACTTTTACCTACAATGATCATACATTGAATCAAATCACTGTAAAGACTGGAAACACAATACAGGTGGAACTGCAAAAAGATTTAGACTACAGATAATATAAAGTAGTAGATCATAAACCACAGTGTACACAACACAGTAGAGTAAATCTTCTTAACCATATTTTTCTCAAATGAACTCTTTAATACCTGCCACTATTCACTTAGGTCAGTGTTGCAAAAGAAACCACCACCAGTGCTGGAGAAAAAAAAATACACCGCAGTAAAAGTGACAATCTAACCTGCATAGACAGCTTTTAATTCACGGTTTAATAATCAAATAATTCACTGATGGCTTAACAGGATTCTGAGATCTGATGAATAGCATCTCTTATAATGAAAACCCAGAGACATTTTTTATCCTGCAGTTTGCAGGGTTTTGGACAAGCAGAAATGCAGAGTTCCTGCCAAACTTTAATTTCCCTTCTGCAACTGCATCTGCCAAGTGTATGAACCAGGCACGGTGCCACACAGGCTAGCATAGATTCAAACAGGCTTTAGAAATGTTCCCTCTCATAAGCCTTTTCCTCATAATCTCTTTTCTCAGAATGCTGGCCCAAAATATTATGTGATTCAACAGCAAAATTTCAGGTCACTGAACCAAGCAAATCCTAGTTTACAGTTTTGCCATGTAGCTAGACGGCGAGGGCAACACGACAATAGCACAAACAGCTCGGCAGAGGAAGACGGAACCACAAAGAAAACGTCCAATATATTCCCTTTAAGACACCGAGAGCGAAAACACGACCAATCATTCGGCTCATAGCGCTGCAGATATGCACGGGTTGACAGGAAAAGACTGTGAAACAGTGCACTTCCAGATAGCTGTCGTTGGTAAAGCTACGGACAGGCTGGATATGTCATTTATCATTTGGCAGAGTGCTGAGCGTGTGAGGTTGGGAGACAATTGAGGTGCGTTTGCGCGTGCTGGGGAGGAGGCGACAGAGAGCTACCTGCTGCCCCTGGGGCCTGGTGTGTACGACATGTCCGCATCTGTCAGCCAGCATTCTTATCGGCTCCTCGCTTTCATCTCCCCATCACCCTGACCAGTGCTGGGGGCCATGGGGGAGGGGCATGGGGCTGGTCACTGATGCTCCAATCCACTATGGGGGCTGAACCCACATAAACACCTAATACACAATATACCCCGCTAAGGATGTCCTGATGCAGTCTGAAAGATTGGAACTGGAGCCAATCCAGGACTATTTCAATGAATCAGTATGTTATATCAGGCCTGATCAAATTCCTGTCCTTTGTTAAGTCTCTTTTGCTTAGTTTAGCTCTATTTATGCCACTGTAAAGATGACATAAACGTTCATTATCCACTTGCAGCTGTGAAGCAAAGTTAACAAGCAGTTTATGTGTCTGTGTGCAGTGTGGAGCTGTTTTAAAGTGGAAAATTAAAACAGCTCTACAACCACTCCTAATATCTTCAGCACTGAGTGTCTTTACTGCAAGCCCTGCTGTTTATTATACACTTAGCGGCAAGAGCAACAGCGTGTTCAAAGCTGAGAAAGCTATAGTTTCTGCATGTTAGACAAATCATATAATAGTTATTTGAACAAGTTTTAAAAACGTAGCATATTACTTTACATTGGGCCACACTGTATATTAAACAAAGTAATTTTATTGTGGCAAATAACGGCAGCATAGAATAGGCTGCTTGGATTTACTTGCTTTAAAATATGTGAGGTATGCTTGTATTATCTACAATTCAAAAATGCAAAAATATAGATATTAGATATTCAGTATTAAATGACGCCATTCAGGATAAGGAGCAAGTGAAACTTAAAAGGGAATTCTCCTCATTTTTCAAGATTTCTGAATAATAAACAAAACTATTCAGAGTGGTTTGAAGTGAAATGTTCCATTCTTAAGAAATTTACTGGTTCAGAATTGTTAACAATGGTGGTGATAGGAACTAGATATTCGAAGTGTTCAATGTCTCTAAAAGCGATCTCATAGAAAGCTATTACAGGACATGGTTACAAATACCTTGCCTGATGCCTGAGACATTGTTTCATGACAGTTTTGAGATAAAACTTGGTCCAAAAATGTATTTTTTGTAATACACAATGAGGGAAGGACATGCATGACTTTGTAAAGCACAATATTTCCCAAAGAACATATTTTCCCATATTTACCACTATTGTACCATTATCAACAATAAATATAAAAATTTAGAAGACATGTGTAACTCTGAAGGTATGTGTAGGTTCACTGGTTGTTTTGGATAGTAAGTAAAATGGCTGTATGTGGGCTGTAGATTTCACAACCCCTGGTTCCATCACCACCACTACAAAGAAATCTGAATTTCTCAGGAATGTAAGTAAGTCTATAAATTAATTCACAGTAGACAAATACTGTAGACAAAATTGGTAGACAGTGCTCTCAGTATGCAGTTATAAATATGGCCATACATACACAGGATATGGCATACAGAAAGTATTGCTATAGCACTGGGTTAAAATCTGACTGAATCCTTGACCGCTGTGCTACGGGTGGTCTTGTCAGCAGATCAAAGCCACAGTGATCTTCATCCTGTACTTCAAGTTCACGCTTGTTTTGACACTCACTTACAATCTCTCTCGTCATCTTCACTGTGCGCTCCTTTGATGACACATGATGGACTCACTACAACTATGCACAAAAATCCTGCCTTTAAGTTCCTGTCTTTGAATTTTTCTGCTTGTAAGCAAATATCGAAATAGGGAAAGAGATCAGAGATGGAATTTGCTCTGTACATGAACTCTTGATATCAGCATTTACAGTAATTAATTAAATGGCAAAAGGCTATAAGAGCGTTCAAAGAGTGGCTGAATTCTTGAGGGGTTTAATCAGGGCTTTAGGGGGTTTAAGGCCTTATTTAAAGTATAATGATTATTTTGTCGTTTACTCAATGCTCCTTCAGTTTGCCATTAAGTCCCATAATCTCTCGCCATAAGCTGAAGATTCATCTAGGGTATTTCCTCCAGCTGCTCTTATAGAAAGAAAGAAAGACAGAAAAAAAGAAACAAAAAAGCCTCTGTTCAATCAGTGAACAGCTGCTGATAAGACAGTAATTTTCAAATGTTTTTCAGTAAATCATTATGTGAATAATTGAGATTGCTCACTGGTTCTGTGGTGAAAATCAATAGAGGGGATGGTCTTACAGCCACCCAAAACAGCCACTCTGGAGGCCAGTACGAGGCTGGAGGTGCCGGTCACTGGCCTCCTGCCATAATCGATGAGGAGCTGTAGCAGAGGCTGGGACGGGTGACTGCTTCTGTCTGACCTGTGCTTAAGTACCAGTGTCTTATCAGAGCAAAGGGGAGAGGGACAGAGTGAGAGGGAAACCTAGAGAAACAGAGTGTGTGTTTGTGTGTGTGTGTGTGTGTGTGTGTGTGTGTGTGTGTGAGTGTGAATGAAAGAGGAAGAGGGGGCAGGACGAGACAGAGAGAGAAACAGACACTGAGAAACAGAGAAAAGTAAAAAGGGCAAGGGGGGGTTAGAGAGAGGACAGTCAGAGAGAGAGAGAGAGAGAGAGAGAGAAAGAGAGAGGGAGACAGTGGACAGAGATGAGAGGGAGAGAAATGGGCAGAAGGCTATGTGAAGCGTGACTTTTGCTTTAACCTCCGTCGCTGGCCCTGACAGGGGGACAGAAGAGGAGCAGCTGCTGTCTTACCGTCAGACATCCCATCAGACTCTGCTCAAAGGGCCTCTGGAAGGCTCGCGGGTCACCACACCAGTCCAGCAGCTCCGTGGCCGCTGTCTGGAAATTGGCCGGGTTCTGTAAGTGCTGTGGGAAGGAAAAAGAAAGCAAATTTAACTTTAAAGCTAACTGATGGTGCATAAGGTTCCATTACTTGTGAATGACATTAGCCCCATAGTAGTGATGCATGATTCCAGGTTTTCTCGACTCCTGATGCTGGAATCAACAGAATTGACTCCTTGACACAGCTTAACTTTGACCAAGACCGTACTACAGCAATTGATAAAGGGATATATTAGAGATAAACCCCTCTTAAATGGTGTCCCCAGTTTCTGAGTTGCTACAGATCATAGTGACAGGATGAAAAAACCCACAAAGCATTAGAATGTACATATGTACAGGTCGCCAGTCCATCGCAGGGCAGACAAACAGACATATACATCCACACACACACTCACACCTAGGGGCAATTTAGCATGTCCAGTTGGCCTGACTGCATGTTTTTGGACTGTGGGAGGAAACCGGAGTACCCGGAGGAAACCCACGCAGACACGGGGAGAACATGCAAACTCCACACAGAAATGACCCTGGTCACCCGGCCGGGAATCGAACCCAGGCCATTCTTGCTGTGAGGCGACAGCGCTACCCACTGACTCCTTGACACAGCTTAACTTTGACCAAGACCGTACTACAGCAATTGATAAAGGGATATATTAGAGATAAACCCCTCTTAAATGGTGTCCCCAGTTTCTGAGTTGCTACAGATCATAGTGACAGGATGAAAAAACCCACAAAGCATTAGAATGTACATATTCCACCTGAACCTGGATTTGCCCCGGGTGGAATCTAGGCTACATTATAGGACACATTCTCACCTGTAAATAAACGACCAGGTAGTATGGAAAACGGTTACAGGTGACTAATGTTTGATAGTTTACACATCTTACCATGAGATTTCTCACAATCACAATGAGGCGTAGCTGAAGGGAGACTGCATGCTACAATGTAAACAGGCTATAGGATAAGGGAAACGTCCAATAAAAAATTGACATATTTACTTATATAAGTAAATATATACACACACATGTAGTTTGTGCTTGCAGTGGCTGGTGAGCAGTGCTTTCATGGCACAAAGCTTGGCAATTAAATAAACTCGTACTACTCAAACTCCTTCCTGCATTATGCCTCCATCAGAATGTCCATCCATCCATCCATCATCTAAACCGCTTATCCTTCTGGGTCGCGGTGGGGTGCTGGAGCCTATCCCAGCTGTCATCGGGCGGAAGGCAGGATACACCCTGGACAGGTCGCCAGTCCATCGCAGGGCAGACAAACAGACATATACATCCACACACACACTCACACCTAGGGGCAATTTAGCATGTCCAGTTGGCCTGACTGCATGTTTTTGGACTGTGGGAGGAAACCGGAGTACCCGGAGGAAACCCACGCAGACACGGGGAGAACATGCAAACTCCACACAGAAATGACCCTGGTCACCCGGCCGGGAATCGAACCCAGGCCATTCTTGCTGTGAGGCGACAGCGCTACCCACTGCGCCACCGTGCCGCCCCATCAGAATGTCACTCGAGTTAATTACAATCAAGAAACACAGCTGAAGAGTCGATTCCAAGTATTTAGACTCTCGTGGTCATTGGCCAAGAGTCAACCTGAACTCCCAGACATGTCAGCGTCGAAGAATCAACTCTTTTATAACTGACTTCCTATCATGACTCCACTGCAAAACTAAAGAAGGAAACTTCAGGCAACAAATGTCTTGGTGGGTTGACTACAGTTGGGGTAAGGAGCATAGTCTATAGTTAAACATAGTTACAGTAATATAGTGAATGATTCAGATGTTTTAAAGTTTTTTTGCTGATTTATTGTCACAGCAGATCAATGCTCAGCAAAGTATTCAGTATTCAGGTATGAGATGCCAATGAAATCTTGCTCTGAACTGAAGCCAAATCATCGTATCAGAACACAAACAGCTTAGTGTATCTAGGCCCTTACCTCAAAAGAGACACTAGGATTATGGCAGAATTTAACCTCTCTCTATCGATTCATCCCTGTTTTGATCACTGTGTAGTTCCTGCTAAATTTGACCTTCGCAGAAACATGAGATTTGTCTGCGATGAACGGTATTTTAAGTGAGGAGTGTCTATCATATTAAGCCTTACTCTGCCATCCTTTGTCTCTGCTTTGCTTCTTCTGCATCTGCACGACCCTGCGAAGACCCGGTCACTAAAACCCGTGGCCTCCTGGCTGGAGCGCAGCTGTGCATTCTGGGACAGAAACCCCTCTCCGCACCCCTTTAACAAAGAGCTCAGCGTTCTTCAAGGCCTCCTCAAGCCACCCCAGCATGTCCTAATCCACCCTCCTCATCATCTTTTTGTCCTCTAAGATGTAATAGATCCGCAACACTGAAAGGAATAGCCAAACAGGCTGGCAAACAAGGCGCACGCAAGAGGCAAGGCTTTGTGGCGGAACTGAATGAGGAGAGGCTTACTCTCTTTTTCTCCCATTTTATTGAGCCCTGAAATTGTTTATCCTTTCCTCAGCACCCCCCACCCATTCCAGCCTGCAGCTCACAAGACATGATGAGAAATTTAAACAAACGAGCGAGCCGCACAACCTCTCCAGATTTCTTGTATGGAAACGGCTCGGCTGATGTTTGGCCACGGTGGGAAGGAGGCCGCAGACGCTCTGAAAACTTCCATTCTGCTCAGCGACGGGTGCCTCCTCTTCTCTGCTTTTGCAGCGAGGAAGCAGCATTGTCTCCGGGGGGCGGCAGAGGTCGCCATTTGAATAAGTGGCTTTGGTGTCCACTGACAAAGAGCTCATGTGACAAACAGCCAGTGTGCGCTGCCACAGAGCCCTGCTGAGTAAATCCTGCACAGCATAAGAGCTGTGCAGGCTGTGAAAAAGCTGGTGGAGAAGAAATTGGTGAATAAGTCGTTGATTGAGTGGATGCAGTGTAATGAGCGAGCACGCTGTAGTGAATGAGGAGGGTACTGATGGTAGGGCAGGAGAGAGAGAGAGAGAGAGAGAGAGAGAGAGAGCAAAATCTTTTAAGGAGATAAGATACTCATGCTACAATAGACGGTATACAACGTATTCCTTTCCACAAAAAAAAAACAAAAAAACATGCATAATAAATATTGCTGGCTTCCAAACAGTAAACAGAGTAGCTTAACATGGCCTTATCTTAAAAAAGAGAGAGGATGGTTATAATTGCAATGCGAGTGCAGCAGTGCAGGCTTGAATGAGAGAGAGAGAAGTCTATTAAGGAGGTGGCTGCTAAAGCTACAATTGATAGCATACAAACACATGTTTCCTCAAATTAAAGTGAACATGAAATCAAAACTGATCTTGTTAGTTCATATCTGACCATATTAGATGGGAATTCGACCTTAATTCATTTCTGCATAATTCAGTCATTGAGATGTAAACAGAATAATTCAGAGAGTTTGACGTGAAAATGGTGCGTTACAGAGAACATTTCTGACTCAAATTCAATTTACAGTGGTGGTAACAGGAGCCAGGGGTCACAACGTCTATTTTATTTAGCTTCCACAATGACCAGTGTACTGACATGTGTCTGAGTTTTCTATGTAATATTGAAAAAAATTCTTTCAGTTTTCTTACAGTTTTCCTTACAAAACACTGCATGTACCTTTCTGCCATGAATGTATTTTAGAAAATATGTTCTAGGCCAAAAGCTGATTACAAATCTATCATAAAACAATGTCTTGGGTATCAAGCAATGAGTTTGTTTCTATTTTATGTAATACCTCTCTAAATAAGTTTTTGAGAGCATTAAATACTTTGCACATCTGGTTCCCACCGCTGGATTCAGACTTGGAAAGTTTCTTTATAACATCACATTTCACATCAAATCATTCTGAATGGCTTTTTACATATTAATGGTTTAATTATGCAGAAATGTAAAAAAAAATATTTGTTATTTAAGCATGATTCATCATACTATAACACTTAAAAAACAAAGTTCTTGTTTTCCTGTAATCCTTCATGTAATGACTATTTTTTAAATGAAACATATTCTGATTTTTGATTATGTCACTGTGCACCAGCAAGCAGGAAAAAATAATATTAACCAATAATATCATGTTTAACCTCATACTCCCACCACCCCCACCAATCATCAGCTTGCTTTGAGATCCTCAGACCCTCCCTCAGTTAGCTCAGAGACCCTTGCTGACACTTGTGTTTCACTCCGAAACACGTCACAATATGAAAGGAAAAAGCATTATGATTTCCAATTCATATTAGTTAAAAAAATGAGCATTTATTTACATTAAATAAGGACTGAAAGCTACCAAATAGTAAAAAAACACCCTGACATGACTTCTCTAAGCAGAGAGATGATGGCTGGTAATTGCAATGTGAGTGCCACAGGCTAGCTGATGTGATGGCGGTCACACTGTGCTGTGGGTCAGTGAGGTAGTGTGGTTGGCATGACTACAGCACAGGTGTTCCGAAAGCTCTGGCCAAACCTCCACCTTTCCCCCTGCCACGTTGACACTGTCTAAACACGACCTGTCCACGACAGGGCACCTCTCCACTCCGCCATTTGTCACTCCTGATGTACAGCGCCTCACGCTGCTCTTCTGGTGCCACGCTACATTGCAGCAAACAGACATTGCAGAGGGGGTGGGGGCTTCCTGTTTCTTTCTTTCTTTTTTGTTTCTTTCTTTCTTTTTTTTTACCTGAGCCAAATAACTATCAATAGCCAAACTGTACATAAAGATCTATCTTTGTATGGATTTACTATCCTACCCATGTTATTGCATAAAAATAGAGAGGATTTACATAACTTAAGTAAAATAATGTTTGAGTTCTGCTTCATTATGAAAGGTCTGACTTTAACCATACTCAAGCTGTGACATGGGTTTATTAATGCCATAGGACTTGAGAGCAGATCAAAAGCATTGTATCATTTTGATGACAATGTAGGCTACAGTGAGTAAAAGCTATGAAACAAAAGAACAAACTATCAGAAAATGATAACCAGGGTGCGTTGGTGCCTGGCCCCACCTATCAAAAATACATTCTGCGGTCCATCCTTTTTAACTATGGCGCAATTCAGCAAGCCCAGAAAGAAACATCTCCCACACTAGTAAGACAAATGACAAAACACAGTGTGGGTGTAGAATTCAGGTGTGTATCTAATCTAAAGAGAGATTTCTATTGTCACCTGCTCCATCCGGGAACCTCCCACAGAAGCTGTTCATCTCATCAGTTCAGCATGTGAACCATGCACATCTGCCTCCTCCAGCAGCAGAGCTCAACAGCTCTACACATTTGTATTCCTGTTGCATGCAAATAGCAATTCAGTCCTGCTCCAGAACATAAAAAAAGGCTTTCTAATTAAAATTGAGTTGCTCTGCCATGTTTCCCTAATTATTTTCAATCACTGAAATTCCTTCTCATGGTCTTGAAGGGGAACGAGCCAAATTAATTGTTCTGATCATCCGAGATACCAATTTTCAAGTGCTCCGGGGGAAGTGCTGTGAACAATAAGAGTAGTATAAAGGCAACTGAACAGGAGAATGGAGTTTTGCTATATGCAGCTCAGTGGGAAGCCACAGACCTTGTGCTTGTAAACTCGAATAAACACACTGTAGGAAAAGGTTTCACTGCTTTAGCTTCCTTGACCCTTATTTAAGGTCTAAACAATGTCTCTCGTTACTTCTGCTGTGGTCTGAAGACCTACCTTTTCTGTACAGTAACACAAAGCTTATCTGCACTTTACTTTATTCGGTTTTACCCTCTCATTATTGGCTTAATGTTTGGCTATTATATTTTGGACTAATTATTGATCAATTATTTGGTGACTAATTAGTACTGTGAAACTAATATGGGAGTTATATAGTTATAAGAGTGAGGAACTGAAGTGTGTGTCCACATACTTGCTTTCACAACTTTATGCAAATAAGAAGCAAACTCCTCCAGCCAATCAGTTAAAAAGTGGCACAGTGCGTTCTGTCGTGTGCCATGCCCATGTTCAGACCACATGCTGGTGTTGAGACGATGGAGATGAGGAGATGGTCAAAGATTTTAACTTTGTTTGGCTTTTTTAAAAACAAGGGTGCACAGAGTTAGCCTAGAACTCTGCATTTACTTTTACAGTGGGCAGCTAAACTTACACGCAATTTAGCAAAACGCCAAGAAAGAGATTAATGGTTGGCAAGGTAAGCGATTCCACTACACTGTAAATGCAGTATAATATCTGAAAAAAACATTTGTAGTAGATTATATCAACCAATGACAAGACTTTCATCCTAAAGGTCATGAAAACTAGATGCCTAGATGACAGACAGTCTGTCTGCTAAATGAGTAAACGCAAATGTAAGTATAAAGCTGTAAGGCTGTAGGTCTAATAGTGATGTCAGTCAATAGAAGAAAATATCTCATTTAGTGTGACTGACAGCTTTCGTTTGCTCTCTGCTGGGCGTGTGGCTTTTCCCGCAGACTAGGAGGCCTGTGCTGAGGAAGTGCAGGAATGCAGATGCAAGGCTTGCGCAAATGAAAGTCAGATGACAACAATGGCATACATGTGTAGAGAGAGATCCAGTTCAAAATGAAGAAAAGAGAATCTTACCCCTTCACACTACATTATACTGACAGATGCATGCTAACAGTGCATGCTAAACTGCATCTGATTAGTTTACTAAAGCCCTAACAAAGAATTTGTAGAGCCATTTTGTTTATATCAAATTTACAGCTTATTTCCACTGATTCTCAAGAAAATGCCCTTGAGAGACCTCATTTTGTAAATGCAGCTGTTCTACCTAATTGAATGTCAAAATAGAGGTTTTAACTCTATTGTTTTTAAACAATGCACATAAAGGCAAAGCATTTAGTGGTTTTAAATTTGCTGCTTTATCGCATTCATTCATTGCATTCAGAGCTCTGTGTATTATGTTTATACATATCTACAGTTTCTTCTGTTTAAAGGAAATTACTTTTGGCATTGACGCTCTTCTTTTAATATAAATTACTAAACACTTAGGCATAGCATTTTTCCCTGTAACATATTTTTAAAGTGTGTGCCTCTCTGAAACTGCGATTCCACAAATTTGCTATTTCATTTATGGCTAGATGCCACAGAGCTGACTTTGAACAAAAAGAGAGGGAGAAGAGCGAGACAGCAAGTCACACGCTAAAGAGAGAGAAAAGAAACCCAGCAGAAAGTCCCCATCAGATTCACAGAGTATCAGCCTCCCAGGAAGCCGGGCTTCAAAGACAGCCCTGGAGTGATAAGGTGCCCTTGTTTACCAGCAGACAGGATCAGGCAGTACCTGCTCCAGAGGAAAAAAAAAAAAACAGCACAGAGCCTGGCCCCCAGCCAGCACCCCCAAATCAAAACAGCGCACTGCTCCGGGACGCATGCAAATGCACACACGCTGACAATCACTAACCTGTACTGACTGGGACAACTGTCACACGCAATATACCGCAGCCTCACCACACCCCAAATGTGCCGTTTCAATTTGATTAATGAGCTTCAATCGATTGCGTTTTGTCTTTAGGGTTAATCAGCCACAATCTGGCATGCATAATAAAGCTAGTAACGTCATTTGTTATGAATTAAGCACGGAAAATGTTTCAATTGGGATTCGGGAATGTTGTACGCTTGTCTAATTGAAGCAGGAATAGCAAAGGTGAAGAAAGAAGTGCAGGGAAATTAAATACCAAAAATTCTTGAATTGTATAAACAGTCATGTACTACACTTCCATAAAGCTGTCAAGAGGCACAAGATGTCACACCCACACTCATAAACACCACCAAGCAATTAGTGATCTCTAGAATCACAAACTGTTGCCCTGGGTCATGATTACCTGTGTGTTTACAGTATGTGACTAGAGTGTGTATATATATATATCTGATCCTCAGCACTGAATCAACTCTTACAGCAGTGCATTAACTCATACATCACACGTGTGTCTGCATGTACACTACCAGTCAAAAGTTTGATCACATCTATTCACAGAAGAATTTCCTAATTTTTACTACTTTTTACACGTTTAATAAAGGTGACGGCATCAAAACTATCAAATAGAACAAACAGACAACTAAAGTCATGATGTCCTGCCACAGTCAGGGACATGTCAATATTAGAACCTAGGGATGCACGATTACATCAGTTTGAATTAGTATCGGCAGATATTTGCCTTAAATCATATCAGCATACGACAGATGTTTAGAGTTGACTGATATTTCAAAATAAAATATTTGATGATGCATTTATTGCACCACAGAAGGGCAGATGGGTTACTGCACTAAACTATCTGCATTTTATTCAATTTACAGCATGTGTAACCTGATAAAAATAAATGTTATATTTCTCCATAATGTTAAAACAGGTAGGTTTAGCCCCAGTTTCTTTATTTTATAAACGTTTATGTATCGGCATCAGTATCAGCCCACGATTCTCCTGTCAGTAATTTCCTCTATGAGAAACACAAATAGTGTTTTCAAAAATCATTGTCCAAATTTTGCCATATGTATATTTTTCCTCTGAACATCGCTGTATCCCCTGAACTATGAGGTCATTAAGAAGCCGAAATACAACTATTGCTAAACACAAACTAAAACGGCTGCGCCCCATGCAAACCGGTAAGCTTTGTCAAAGGTGGTAGTTAAGTTGCTTTAACAGTACTGAAGTTTAGTGGTAGACTCACTTTCACTGCAAAACATATTAGATTTGGAACATTTTTGTTTATCAAAAGACATGACAGAGGCGATTTTCAAAAACGTCATTCAGCATTTATAATTCATAATCCATAATTAATTCATATCTAGCTATTAACGTCACCATTTATATTCACCTGAGAAGCACCTAGAAACCACTTTGAAACTAATATTGAGGTTATGTAGTGGGCCCACATACTAATCCTACAAGTGGCATTTATCAATAGCGATAATAACAGTATTATATAAGTCTATATTATCTCTCATTCATAGCTCATTGAGACAAGGGAAAAAGAGAAGAAGACTAAAGAACATGGTATAAACTTACCCTAACTTTAAACAGAGTAAGAATTTTGTGATTTGCATGTGCTATAGTGTTAATTATGAAAAATTGCAGTGGTGGCAGCAGGTTGTTTGGGGAGTGGCGGGTGGCTTCGACTGTGGGCGTTTGTTCTGTGGTTTCGGTTTCAATGTAAGAATCATTACTCCTACTTACTATGTATTTAAATATGTAATTGCACACTTATGTTTGAATGGCATAGCAAAGCTAAAGTAATACCTCTCAGTTACTAAGAGTTGAAGGGTCACTCATAAACTTTTAGACAAAATGCCTTTAAGATAAACACACTTTCGATCAGGTGTGTTCAAACTTTTGACCGGTGCTCTATATCTGTCTGAGATGTGAGTGTTGTGCATTAGACTGCAGGAATGGTGTGCAAAGGGCCGTGGTGGAGAAGAGGAGAGCAGCACTCAGGATCTGAGCCCTGGCCTCATTCTGCAACCTGATCCAGGCCCAGCCAATGGGAAGGCTAACAGCACCATTTAAGGCAGCCCACAGAACAGAGTGGAGGCCAAGCAGCCGTGAAGGCTCAGCTACCAACTGCACACATGTGTCACTGCTCAGGCTATATTTGTATGAGGGCTTTATGTAGGGCTGCAACAGCAGTATAGACAAGTGCTGCATTCTGTTGTTTTGACAGAATAGCAGAACACAGCCAAGGGTTCACTGCATGAGTGTTGATTTGGTTAGCATTTTACAGCTGGTGATCTCATGGCATGTATAAATATCATACAACGGAACCTCATTTGCATAATAATAATACAATAAATTCTTATAAAGGTGGAGCTGGTGTCCTCTCGGTGCTCACCTGTTTGATGCACACCAGTCTGTCATTGGTCTGCTGTATGTGCCTGTCCATCGAAGGAATCGAGTTCATCTTGATTGCTGTCTCTTTCTCTCTACCTGGAAGCCATTAAAGTTCTTCTCCCTGAGAAATGCACAGACAAAGAGAAGAGTGTGTCAGCGAGTAGGAGAGAGACAGAAAGAGAGAAAGCACTTCGGAGTAGATCACTGAACTCCTCACTGTCTCAACAAGGCCCTGAAAGACACTGAGCGTTCAGGTGACTTTTTTCCCTTCGGTTTTCGAGGATAAGACTTGGACACGTTCCATCCATCTCTCACCAGGCCAGAGCATGTCTGTGGAGCAGTGATGATGGGGGTAACTGCAGGAACCTGAGCTGTATATGACAGCCTGCTTACTCACAGAAACAGGCACACTACAACTTGGGCAAGCTGTACGCCATCATTCATAAGTTTGGAATTACTTATCATCCTAAACATTTTAGTTATTCTTTAAGCAATAAACACTTATACAGTGCAGATTTTAGTTTTATGAAGGAAACTCAAAAATGTGGCTGTTTTATCAAATATTTTCAAGTCTTTTAGGAATTCCAGGAAATGTTAAAATAAGCTGTAATTTCCTGCGCAAATTACAAATTTTTGTCAAGTTATGCAGCTTGACATTTGATCACCACTCTTTTATTGTTGATGCTACACAACTTTCCTTGACATTTTAAAGTCATTTACAGCTCTGTTCACATTTAAATTTCTCATTTAAAATTTCTTATTAATAGCTAAATAAGCCAAAGCCAAACAGATTTCCTAGCTTCTAATTAATTATTTAAAACCTGTTAATTTATAATCAGTTTATAATCAATTTATAATCGATTTATACATTGATCTACTACCAAAGTGGTTTTATATGACTGAAAGCATTCTCTGAAAACTCCAAATCTTTGAACAGTAATCAAAATGACAAAGACAGCCTGTTTATTGAGGTTACCCACACATGCACACACGCCCTATCAGCTCTGATTGAGTCAAGTTGTATCTGCACTGGCATAGCCCAGCTCGCTTAAAAGGCAGTGGAGTCACCTTACTGTTTGCATAGCTCAGGAGTTAGGTCGTCCTCGGTTACCCATCCACAGGCCGCTCTGTCATGGATACGCTAGCCTCACATCCTTAAACCCAAACCCACAGCAGCGCTGAAGCACAGGCCCAGCCGGTGCCATCAAAACAAACAAGCAAACAATTGTTCACTGACAGTGGCTATTAGATGTTAAGACACATAAGTAGACAGTTTATATCTGTCAAGCTACAGTTACAGTACTCACCCATATTCTGGTCGTTAAACCATAGAGTGTTGCAACGTTGATGCACAATCACCACTGCAGTGTGCAATAACTATGCCTAATGATACGTACAACACATAGACGTCTTCCAGTATCACCAAGACACAACTCCACTAACTGACTTCATAATGACTGGATTTATAATTGTTTAGAGGACGATCCAATGCATCATAAAATCTCAAATTTCACCATGATTCATTACACTGTTATTTTGCTATGATTCAGGATTATTTTGAAAATACACTGAAAGCACAAATGTGACTAGATGACAATAGAACACAGAAAAAAGAAACTACACCAGCTTAGGGGTGGGTGATAAAATAATAAAAAATAATATATCAAGCTCTTCCAGCATATCATTCTGCACTAAATTCAGTGAAACAGAAGTAATTATGCCCTCTTTGTAATGACACATGCAGTTCGTAAGTGTTCTTTAAGAATTGACAACCACTATATGCTCATTATAATAAAAATGATCACAATAACAATAGCATACTGTCATATGCTGTCATATTCCACCCCTACAGCAGCTTTTTTATGCCTGAAAATTTTATTACACTATTAAAATACTTAAAATAACTAAATATTTTGATTCTAATATTTTGAAATTGATGCAGTCACCTTCAGATCAGTGTGATGTATTTTGCCACCCCTATTTGTACACACATATAGTTTTGGTATAATATTCTCACTATTTGGACTACATTATGTCGTTTTGCACTTTTTTATTATCACTATTTTGTGCATCATTCATGTTGCCCAACTTTGTTATGCTGTTCTGAACTGAACTTAAAGTGTATGTGTGAGGCTGAAGACTTGGGATGAATGCACTTTAGAGTAAGATGGGGTGTGGGGTGTTTGCAACCAATTACACTCAGAAAAGCCTCCCGTCTCAGAAGCAGAGGCTGCATCCCATAAGCATGTCTATTACACGGTGTTAAAGGTATCATGCCTTACATTCAAGGTTATCAATTTTGCCCTGCCGGCTGATTTACAGCTACATTCAGCGAGGGATAAATCCAGGGTCCCTGGGTCCCGCCGTAACTCATGCACTGGGGGCGGTCACGTGGCCCGATTAATAGGTGCCGAGCGATGGAGGCAGGACTCCATCCCTCATCTGCCCAATTTATCGCCATCACTCTTACAAATTCTTCCATCCAAACAGGCAGAGAATCCCCCAGCATGCGGCACCCGCGCCTGTCCGCTGCCGTGGCCTGATAAAGCTCACTTCACACACCTCTACTGGGCAAGCCACAGTGAGGGGTGGCCGCTGTGTACACGATTTGGGTGCTGGAATGCATTGCACTGGGGGTTCTTAAGAAGAAACAGCCTTGACACGCTCATTAATGAGGGCTTGGCGTATATGGTAACAGAGGATGACAGGCATGTACTTGCTGGCTCTTTAATAGTCTAGTAGGTCACACAAAAGAAAAATAAACTATCGGTTTATTCTGGGATTCACAGGGCTCAGTTTGTAATGGTAAATTTAGCTGACTTAACCTAAAAGCAGCAGGAGCCAAGCTGGCAATTTAACCCCTCAGCCTGCAGGCTTATTATTAAGTTATTAAACTCAAAGGAATGCCCCAGCGATTTTTAAGCTAATCTCTATGTGTTGCAGCACATGATTGATCATCATGGACAATAATTCCTATACTTACAAAGGAAGAGAAAACATGTTGACTCAAAATATATTTAAAACAGAAGACAATGGTGAGGTGTTTCAGCACCAGCCCACTGACTTATTTTATAATGTGTTTCAAATGAATGAGTTTTTTAATTATTTGCAAAATACAGAAAAAAAAGTCAAAAGTAGTGTTGATGGTAATGAGTTGCAAGCTAAAGATGCATCAGACAGAGATAAGGATGGAAAGCAATGAAGTATTTCTTTAAAGGAATAGTTCAGAGAAAAATCTAATGTACGCAGTTTCCCCCTCACCCCAAATGTAGTTGATTAACTACTGTGTCTGTGTCTGAAGTTTCCTCTTTTAGTTTTGTATTGGTGCTATGAAGCTAAGGCACCTGAAAAGTATGGAAATTCTACTGCAGCCAAAATCCTTTATTATACAAGCTTTGTAGCTTCAGTACAAGCTATGTATACTGGATTTTTTGGTGAACCATCCCTTTAAGACTTATTAGTCAGTAACTGTTATAAAACTAATATGTGTGAGATAATTAATATGCAATATCTAATATGTATGAAAATATACTGGCCCTTGCAGTTTAAAGGCTTTAAGAGATCTGGTCAGCTCCTCAAAAAATGGGCCAGTAAGGCTGCAGTGATGGCTGGTGGCCAGCAGGTGTCTCTCTGCCACACTGCAGGCCAGCTATCAGTGCAGAACTACCGCATGTTCTTTTAAGCCTTTACAAGCGCTACAAATCCTCTGCTCCAGCTCACTGACAGGACACTCTCAAACCTGCGGCTTGCCCAGCCGACCTTGTGGCTATTGATTAACTATTTCCCACCGAACCCTGCTGTCTCTCACGCCTGCAGCGTGTAGCGGCCAAAACAGAGAGAAACAGAGAGAGAGGGAGTTAGTTAGAGACGGCAGGAGAGAAAGGAAGTGGTGAAGGTAGCTATTCTCTCTCTCTCTCTCTCTCTCTCTCCGTCTCTCTCTCTTCCCCCATGGTCCTGGGTTTTGTTTGCCGAACAAAAGCATGGCTGCACGCGTCAGGAGGAAGGCGATGACACGAAAACATCACTGCGGCGGCTGCCCAGCATCCTGTCCAGTGACGCAGGCCGGTTGTGGAGTGGAGCCCAGAGCCCAGAGCCTAAGTCCGCTCCTCCCTTGCTCCTCTCTTCCTCCCTCTCTCTCTCTTCACTCCCTCTCCTCCTCTCTCCTCCTCTGTCCCTCAGGCAGGGAGGGTTGGAAAAACACCAGTTATATAACACACCAAGTACCTCAATGAAAACAAACCCTTGTCCTCGTTATTCAGAGAGCACCAGAAGCTGACCATGAAGTCATTCCAAACACAAGTTGTACAGTCAGACATTCAGCCAGTACCAGATTTCGTAGTACAAGTAGGTATGACCCAAAATTCTTCCGGGCCTGCGTTGCAACGTGGGTGCTATAAATATTTGCTAGCGTTTGCCCTTTAGTAAGCTGCCACAATACTGTGCCCTTACACGCTGACATGCTGCTCAGTATATGGCCATATGAATCGCATCAGTCTGTACACAATTAGAGGAGGTGATACTCAGGGATTACACAACAAACCCATCTGGGCATGAAACGACCCTCCGAAGCGGAAGGAAGATTAATCATATCAGAGGAGCGGGCCGACTAATAATGCATACCGGCAGAGCGCAAAAACAAAAGGCAGGAAGCAGGGAAAAAAAAAATTACTGAGTGGAAACCCACTCTGCCTTAAACTGAGAAGAAGAGGAGTGAACCAGAGGACCAGGGGGAGTGGAGGACAGAGAGAGAGAGAAATTATCTCTTCATAATCAGACACATGCCGCATGAGTGACTTCTGTATTTCTGCTCACAAACGACTACCTTTTCAAGCTCTCATTCTCAGAATAGCATCAGCTGTTCTCGCAGGTTGAGGACGCACACTGAGAGAGCCTGATACCAGTCTGTAATACCATTCAGTGGAGAAAAAGGCCAGGTTTAAAAGACTGATCATAATTACAGCTCACACAGAGATCTGCCACAACAGATACGAACAGCTCCACACTCCCCACGCGCCATTATTTCATACGCTGAGAACCTGCCCGACACTGAAGGAACTGGTTGAGTAAACCCTATGGTAGCCCTGCTGTGTATATTTTGGTGTTTTCCTGCTCTAACACAGC